CTCTCCACCCCTCAAACTTTGCTGCCGTCATGATGTACTCCAGTTGTCTCTTTCTTATCACTTGACCAAGGAATGTAGATTGTCTTTTTCTGACTTCAAAGTCGTTTTACAGTTGACCAAAAGGTGAAGAAAAGAAGCTGGCATTGGATAGGACACACGCTGAGAAAACATAAGATAAAAATAACTAGAATATATTTGTACTGGAATCAACAGGCTCATAGAAATAAAGGCACCCCCCCCCCACACAAACAGAGAGCGGAGCTAGAGAGTAAAGTTAAGCAGCTGGGGAACTATGCTGCATTAGGAGATACCAGGAAGGGGAAGAAGAAAAACGGTACTTTAAGGAGAATATATTTCCATATTTTGGTTAGCATACATTAAAGCAGATGAAAGAAGCAGAAACAGGAAGCTACTCTAGGCAGCATAGAAAACCAAACTTATAGTTAATATACACACAGGGACACGAACTTGTCGCTTTCAAATGAGTGTTTTGAGAAGTATAGAAACAGTATTTCATCGTTTCGTCTATAAACGATGGGAATTTTCCTGTGTTGTGTACTCTTATGACGAACTTTCAAGATTTATCTGTGACCTTCTGCTGTTAAAACATGTTGACAACAAACTGCACTTCTCGGATGTAAAGCGAGACACAGTGAGAAGGGGAGTGTAAGGAGTTGAAGGACGGATCCCCTTTCCCGAGTAATTCAACATGTTGACATGGAGAGAAACAGCCCAGTTGCTGAGAGATGGGTCACACCAGATATAGCATATACGCCCCTTCGTTCGCTCGCGAGCTGCAATCGTCAACAAACCCCCCACCGTAGTTTCTTTTCCAGTAATAGGTCACAGGAATTCCCTCTACTACTGCGAGATTCCCAGGTTAAAATAAATTACGCGCCCTTGATATCCCTGTTTTTTCGGATTACAATTTTTTGGCTTAGGTTTCGGTTGTTATTTTTCAGGAAAATTAACAATACATTCTTTTTCTTCTTCTTCTTCTTCTTCTTCTTCTTCTTCTTCTTCTTCTTCTTCTTCTTCTTCTTCTTCTTCTTCTTCTTCTTCTTCTTCTTCTTCTTCTTCTTCTTCTTCTTCTTCTTCTTCTTCTTCTTCTTCTTCTTCTTCTTCTTCTTCTTTCTTCTTCTTCTTCTTCTTCTTCTTCTTCTTCTTCTTCTTCTTAGGCAGGGATGGCTTCTTCTTCTTCTTCTTCTTCTTCTTCTGATCCTTCTTCTTCTTCTCTTCTTCTTCCTTCTTTCTTCTTCTTCTTTTCTTTGCTTTTCTTCTTCTTCTTCTTCTTCTTCTTCTCTTCTTCTTCTTCTTCTTCTTCTTCTTCTTCTTCTTCTTCTTCTTCTTCTTCTTCTTCTTCTTCTTCTTCTTCTTTTTCTTCTTCTTCTTCTTCCATACTGGTACTTTATTATTATAATACTACCCCCAGAGGACGCTACAGGACAGTCCAACATTTTAGAGGATGGTAAGACTGGGTTTCCCGGCTTTCTGACGCTTTTAACGACCCCAAAACATCAAGAACTGGTCCTAACCCTAACCCACCTCCCACGAGTGAGTGCAGCCTAGGTCTCACGACTGCATGCAGCCTATCTACCAAACCGTGAAATATTAGACTGTCCCGTTACCTGTGGATTTCCCCGGTTTGGGGTAGGATATTAATAGAGCACCTTTTCTTCTTTGTTGTCGTTCTCCTTTTAAATGGTGACTGGCGCATTGTGATGTTGTTTATTATAAGATCGTGTGATGTATGCCACTTTGTGTCTAAGAGGAACAAATCTGTTTATCGCAGTTTACGTCATACCTCTTAGGGAAAAACAGGGCTCCGAAAAACCTCCCAGGAACCCACGTTTACGTGAATAAATATGAAACAATCCCAGAGGCAGACATTATATGTGTGTCGCATGTAATGTGTAATCACATCAGGAGCATTGAGGGGTCCATCTCCCGCCAAGTAATTGTTGGATAACTGGCTCTTTTTTCACTCAGTGCCTTGCTGTCTTTAAGTATCTCACTTTACAATTTAAAACTAACACCAGAATATAAGGCTCTTAGTCTCCCCCACCCCGTTTTCTCCCTCCGTGCAATAATGTATACTATTTTATATTTATTATTATATTTATTTGCTATTCAGCCCACAAGTATTTTATCATTTTAATACTATTGCTTTAAACAAGGCTGTATGCCTTTTGAGCCCCTACCATGACCACAAAGTGTGAGGGGCTGATGAACCCCCTCCCTCACCCCACCCTCATGTTTTTCTTTGTGTCGACGCCCCTAGGTTACGTATTTATTTTTAATAACTGTTGTTTGTGAGTAATAACGAGATGTTAATTCTCATTGCAGGTATCCGGTGCAGAAACCCCATTGCAGGACACATTCAAACAATTCTGGAATTTGCACGCCATTCGATTTTTAAAATTCACAACGAAAATGAAGAAGTTTCGCTTCTTCAGCTAAATGAAAGCTGCCGAAGAGACCGTATAAACTCTTTACAATCTATCAGCGTGTACTTTTGATCATTCTTCGACATTCATCGGAAGTAGTGAACTTTTCAGAGGGTTACAAACTAAGTATAAACTAGAGACCATCTAACATTTATAGCCTTTCCAACAAGTCGGTTTTTGTATATGCAGACTAGAAGTTTGTCAATATCGTCACGTTCAGAATCAACTATTCTGCATCTGTTGTAGTTACAAGCATACACATTCTACCAAGATCAAGTGTTTTTGTTAAGCAATTCTTGCTTGCGTCGAAGAAAGACATTTCTTTCGAAGATTAAAGATAAAGACGTCTTTCCTGAAAAGGAGAAACAATTTCTATTTCCTAGAAATTTGGAGGTCTGAAATTATATGTGCTCAGTTGAGCCTTCCAGTGTCATTATTGACTGCGTAAGCCATTTACTGTGAACAAAATTAACTGTTTGCAGGAATCGGGAAAAATTCACTGATTGCAGGAATCTCTTTGAAAGTCACTGCTTGAAGGCACCTGCGAGAAATTCACTGACTGCGGGAAGCCAACAGATTCTGTACCGAAGTCTTTGGACAGTTACACTTGGGAATCTTGACATTTACAGCAGTCTGTGGAAATTTACTACACTTTGCAGTTTAATTAATGAGATAAATTCAAGCTCAGAACGAAATTCTGTACATCTTTTAAATCACATCAATTTCAGAATACCAGTATCAGAGCACCACAATAAGAACACCAGCATCAAAACACCAGGATCAAAACACCAGGATCAAAACACCAGTATCAGAACACCAGTATCAAAACACCAGTATCAAAACACCAGTATCAGAAGACCAGTATCAGAACACCAGTATCAGAACACCAGGATCAGAGCACCAGTATCAGAACACCAGTATCAGAACACCAGGATCAGAGCACCAGCATCAGAACACCAGTATCAGAACACCAGTATCAAAACACCAGTATCAAAACACCAGTATCAGAAGACCAGTATCAGAACACCAGTATCAGAACACCAGGATCAGAGCACCAGCATCAGAACACCAGCATCAGAACACCAGTATCAGAACACCAGGATCAGAACACCAGTATAAAAACACCAGTATCAAAACACCAGTATCAAAACACCAGTATCAGAACACCAGTATCAAAACACCAGTATCAGAACACCAGGATCAGAGCACCAGCATCAGAGCACCAGCATCAGAGCACCAGCATCAGAGCACCAGCATCAGAACACCAACATCAGACCACCTGTCTCAGAGCACCAGGATCAGACCACCTGTCTCAGAACACCAGCATCAGACCACCTGTCTCAGAACACCAGCATCAGACCACCTGTCTCAGAACACCAACATCAGACCACCTGTCTCAGAGCCCCAGGATCAGACCACCTGTCTCAGAACACCAGCATCAGACCACCTGTCTGAGAACACCAGCATCAGACCACCAGGATCAGAGCACCACAGTAAGAACACCAAAATCAGACCACCTGTCACAGAACACCAGCATCAGAACACCAGCATCAGAGCACCAGCATCAGAGCACCAGGATCAGAACACCTGGATCAGAGCACTGGGATCAGCATACCAGTATCAAATCACAAGTATCAGAACACCAGCATCAGAACACTAGGATAAGAGCACCTGGATCAGAGTACCTGGATCAGAGCACCTGGATCAGAGCACCCGAATCAAAACACTAGCCTCAGAACACCATTATCAGAACACCGAGATCAGAACATTAGTTTTAGACGAGATCCAGAGATTTCTAACTTGTCTCTGCGTCTGGTTCTACATAAAGTCAGCTAACCAGACACAAGTTTTGACCAAGTGTCCACTGTTGAGCAACTGACTTTTCATTTGTGTCGATAAAACACCTGAATGGTGATTCACCTGTCATCCAGTTTATGACACCTTCACCCAATAACAAACAGGATAATGCTGTAAAAAGACGGTGTTACTAAATCATTTATTGGTGTTTGGTTTGGACTGCAGTTTGTTCTAGAAAAAAAAAAAAAAACAACCAACAACATTGTATCCTTCAGGATTTCTGAATTGTCAAGTTAATCGCTGCTGATTGCTTAGATTTTATCATTTGCTGTTTGTAAATTCATCAGTTTTTCATTACTTACTCCTACTTTTTCCAGTAACTATTGCTGATTATCTTATCACCGAAACATTCTTCCAGTTGTCAATTTTTGCTTCTATCGTTTTAAATTTAACCCTAAATATTTCACGGAGTGCCATTTTATTAGATCAGAAGTGCCATAAATAGTTAAAATTGTTTATATTGTGTGAATTGTACATCCATTTCTTTTTAAAAGTTATTATGATTTGAGGTTTTTGTTATACTACAGTTTGTTGCCCACGTCTGCGTGTTCGTTTGCAATATTTTAAATAGGTTCTGGTGATTATTGATGTTATTTGTAACATAATATAGCTGATTGATTGTTATATCATGTAACTCTTTTTTTTTTCCTACTTTGAACTTACTAAGAAAAGTCCAATACTGCAAGAATAGGCAGGATGTCGAACTTCGTTGCTGAGATTAGACCCAAGCCATTTCACTCTACAAGCCAGAACCCCTCCTATGGAAAGGATGATTTTGTCGCAGAGATTCGGTCCAAGTCATCCCGTCAGAACACTGCCCTACCGATACACGACATGGGCCTGTCTTGTGAGGCTAGCGACTCGGATATTCAACAGATACTTTCAGAAAAGAAATTCTCTAGAGAGGGTCTGGTTCATCTTTTAGAGAGGTCACTGGTGACTTTAGTAGAGAAACTGCTAACTGGTAGGAGCATATGCAACATTGAAGGGGCACTGCGTGTCTCCTTCTGTGGCAATGAATGTCCACTTATTGTAAACTTGCAAAAGCGTTTTCCAGACATTTCAAACTCACATCAAACAGAGCAAATAATTCTAGAGAAACAACAGCCAGGAAATCTACTTCAGGAGAAACGACAGACAGAAAGTCTATTTCTAGAAAAAGAGCAGTCAGAAAATATATTTCTGGAGAAACGTCAGACAGACAATCGAGTTCAGGAGAAGCATCAGCCAGCACATATGCTCCTGGAGAACTGTCTGAATGTGAAGGTTAAAGCAAGAGATACTGCGCAAGCCTTACCTATGCTTTGCAACAGCCCTGGAATTTCATCTTCTCCAGGTTGTGGCTTTGAAAGAGACACATGCCACAGCCCAGTAGAAATTGATTGTGGTGTGACAGCAATACCTAAGTCAGATGGGATTACCAGGTACCTATCATCTTGCGTTCCTGACAATAACCAAACAACTCAGGTAAATGGCGGTCTGTCGTTTACAACTCTGGATACTAATTTAATCCATGTTACTCGCGTGGCTTCTTCTGCTTCATCACCTAATCCAGATGGCGAAGACAATGAAATACAGCTTAAGTACACAGAGGATGATTGTCCAATAAACAGGGAGAGCGACGTGGAAAGTGGGTATTTGAGCAATGAAAAGGAAGATTCAGACATTGTAAGTAAGGAAAACAAGTATAGCGAAAAATCTATCGATGGTTACAATGATTATTTCTGTAGTGGGTTTGATGGTCCCACCTCAAGATACGCGTCCTTGGAGAGTCTAGTCAGTGACGACTTCCTGTGCAAAGGGGAGGACTGTGAGTCATATGGATCGTCTGCAGACGGTAGTGACGAAATGGAAGAAGATGGTGATGAAGATTATGAACACCGTTTAGTGATTGATGAAAACGCTTTAAATGATTCGAGTATTGAGAATATGATTGACAAGACTGAGAATTGTGGGCACATTGAGAGCTGCTACAGTCCTTCCAAGAGTGTCACAGATGTTAGTAATTTGAAGGATTTAAAGCCGGTGCAAAAGCTGGATCAAGAAGAAAAATGAATGTGGAGTCAGAAGATGTAGAGTCAAAAGAGTGCTTGGATGTTGTCAACACAAAAACCAGTGAGGAAGCTCATGGAATCGGTGGGTTCAATTGGAATCATGTGCCGAGCATGCCACATCCAGACCATATAGTACCCAGTCATCTTAGAAAGTTCTTGAACAAGAGTTGCTCACCTATTCAACTGGGTACCACGACAGCATCAATCCCGGTACCGTCTGAACAAGGTGTGCACGTGCGTAGCAACTGCTGTCGGACATTCACGGCCAAGAACAACATGAAGCGCCATCTTCGACATCATACAGGCCAGAGACCTTACAAATGCACCAGTTGTCTCCAGTCTTTTTTTCGCCGGGACGATCTTAAAGGACACATGATTCGTCATAAGTACACGAAACCATTCCGCTGCTCGCGATGTCAGAAGGGATACACTGACCGAGCTTACATCAAGAACCACATGGCCAAAGAGCACGGGTCTCGTCTGATGCATGTTTGCCCTCAGTGCGGCGAGAGCTTTGATTGTGAGGAGGCTTTCGCCTGCCACAAGAACACACACCCAGAACTGAAACAGTTCGCCTGCACCACTTGCTCTTTCATCGGCACTAGCAATTTGATGGTGCTTAAACACCGCCTTCTCCACACCCACAAGCTGTTTTCATGCAAGCCATGTAACGCCTACTTCGCTGACCCATTCCATTACACTAGCCACGTAAGGAAACATAAAAAGATGGCTTCGTTCACACAGTACGTGTGCTGTTTCTGCGACATGATCTTGGGAACATACGAGCAATTGGTCAGACACGAGAACTCTCACGCCCAGTGTAAAATACACGCGTGTTCAATTTGCAGGAAACAGTTCAGAAGCAAGATACTTCTACGGGACCATCTGATGACTCACCAGCAACCTGCTCAGGTTGTGACAGAACATGCTCTTCCCAAAACTTTGGATACGGAAAAGCCACTATCGGATAGTGAACAAAAGTACTCTCTTTATAAAGACGTGAACATGCAGCAGAAACCTATTGATTTTACCAGAAAAAGAAGCGATTATCTTGTACAAGAATCTTCACCACTGGCGGCTCAAATGGAAAATGATGAGTTTTACGGGCAGCTTTTGGATCTCAGCATGAAAAAATCTCCAAGCCTAAAACCTACAAACGACAGCTGCAACATCAGTTACCAGAACCAGATCGGAAGCTACAACACTTCTGCAAGGGCAACAGGTACATCAGTTAACGACGGTTCCAGGAATGGCACCAGCTCTTCTGATTCTGCTCGCCTGAGCCGGGAGTGTGGTCTCAGACGGTCAGGAGTTTGCTCCACATCAAACACTGAAGACTGCGCTGCTTGACGACAGCTCACTGAAACTGATGTTGAGTAATTTCACCAATGTTGCTGGAAGCCCCGAGCTGGCGAATTACAGGAATCAGTTTTCGCTCAGCGCTGATGACAAACCCACGCCCTTCATGGATGTAACTGGCAGTCATGCCTTGTTGGAACCGTCGTTTGCCAGGCAATCAAGACGTGCTGAAAGGGCACATAATATTCGGGGTGTATCTAATGCTGTATCTGACAAAAAGCTGTGGAGCCCTACTACTTGTAACCAGCTAAGAGGCAAACCTCTTTATTTTAGTCCCTACAGCAGAGAGAAAATGGCAGACTTGGCTGCTAAATTTATGGTCGCTAGAGGAAGTAAATTAGTAGGGGAGAAAGGGAGGGTGAGTGTCAAATCTGCAGGCGAGAAGGAGAAGAAAAAGGTAGGAGATTTAAGGCAGCACAGTGCACCTGTGGCAAAGGTATCAGGAACATCACCTACGAATACAGAAGGATCTTGCAAGAACGCTATCTTGGCTCTGTCCGGGCAAGCTCATCAGGAAAATGACACTGTTGGAAGTGAGTACTCAAACATGGAAACGTCTTTGAGATATCACATTCCGACGGTTGTCAAATCCGAGCCCCTGAAAGAACAGGATGCGAATGCAGGATCGCCTTTGGATTTTCGCTGTAGGGCATGGAAAGCTTATGGAGATGAAAGCCGAAGCTCAGTTGGGGACAGTCATAATTGTGATATGTGTAGAGAGGTATTCAGAACGTTTCTTGAACTGGAGGACCATAGCGTAGAAGTCCACAAGCGATACTTGTGTGAGCACTGTAAGAAAGGCTTCACGGCCAGGCCAAATCGAGATCGCCACGTTCGCTACCACACAGGGGAACGGCCCTATAAGTGTGACCTGTGCGACCTGGCATTCTTTCGGGGCGATGACCTGAAATATCACCGGACAACAAGGCATCCCACAGCCCAACCTTTTGTGTGCCCCAGATGTTCAGCCAGCTTCACCTGGGGCCGCGATTTGGAGAAGCACATCAGACATTCCAAATGCAAAGTTTAAAAAACTATTGTTAAACAAAGACTTTTGGCGAGCTTAATCATTGAAAATAAAAATGTTTGTTAAGAGAGATAATAGATGAAATAGATCAATCAGCTGTTCGATCATTGGAAAAGAGATCATTTGGAAATTTGTTTATTGACTTAGCCCACGTAGATGACACCACGGTTGACGTTAGATCATTCTTGACAGCAGCATTTTTGGAAAGATTATAAATTATATATACATGTATACACAGACACATAAACATATAATTTAGAATTATATAGGATTATATTATTTGCAGGATATTTAAAGCACTATCTTTTATGTATGAAATCAAGGCGAAGCCTTATCATTTAAAATGATAGTTTTACCGACAATCGTTGGTTTTGTGATCTGTTCAAATCTATTTCTTTGGCTCCTTCACATATACCCCTTCCATGAGACTGAATTAGCCGTCTGTTTAGAAATTATTTTTCTTCTTCTTCTTCTACTTCTTCTTCTACTTTTTTTTCTTCGTTCTCCCTTAAAAGGGCGGTTAACACGTTAAGATGTGTTTACAGCTAGGCTACGATATCTGCCCTTTTCGATCAAATGCATTCGATTTCACCAAACTCGTCAGTATTCGTATCTTACGACATACTTGTTAGAAGCAGTGGGTCTACTCCTCACTGCCCTGTCCCCCAAACGGGATCACGGAATGCGCACGAAGAAGTTATCTCCCAGCAGGACAAGAATCCAGACCGTTTTACCCTTCTGTGAGAACTTGATAAATAGTGTCCCTTTACAGTGGAATTTATCAATTTCCCTCTTCGTATGTTTTTTTTTTTTTTTAAATTTCCTAGCTTCATGTTGTTAGCCCATAGTAGATTAAGGAGTTGTTTACAGCAGTGCTACAGTCAGTGGATTATTATTTAGTTTCCACTGTCATTGTTATTCTAATGTAATATTGCTGCTGCTGCTGCTATTACTCCTTCTCATATTATTACCAGTATAATACCTCCACTACCATCACTATCACTGCTGTTGCTGTGGCACCTGCTACTACTACTCCTTCGTTTCCTATTATTACCACTAGCAATACCTCTACTACTGCTACTACTTCTACTACTACTTTTACCACTATTACTACTACTACTACTTCTACTACTAGTACTACTTCTACTACTACTACTACTTCTACTACTACTTTTACTACTATTACTACTACTACTACTTCTACTACTACTACTACTTCTACTACTGCTACTACTTCTACAACTACTACTACTTCTACTACTACTACTACTTCTACTACTACTACTACTTCTACTACTAACCACCACTACCACCACCACAACTATTGCTGCTGCTGCTACTACTACTACAAATATTATCACATTTTTTATTAAGCAAACAAGCTTGTTGGACATTCTTATTGTAGACAAGTATAGGATATCCCATCATTGAAATTTCCTGAAGATATATTGTTGAGATGTTCATGATGCCATGTTTACAATTTTTCTTTCTTTCGTTTCATGTATGTTGTCTTATGCAGGCTGTTGATTTCCTCATTAAAAGGGATATTTTAACAATAGTTTCTGTTGTGTTGGTTTTGTTGATGATGATGTTATATCGGCTGTACATGCTTTATTGTTGTATAGAGCCGTTTCAATGTGCTTGTTGTGATTGTGGAGTTATCAGTGGGGATCACCTGTTGTGATTGTTGAGTTATCAGTGGGGATCACCTGTTGTGATTGTTGAGTTATCAGTGGGGATCACCTGTTGTGATTGTTGGGTTATCAGTGGGGATATCTCGTTGTGATTGTTGAGTTATCAGTGGGGATCACCTGTTGTGATTGTTGGGTTATCAGTGGGGATCACCTGTTGTGATTGTTGAGTTATCAGTGGGGATATCTCGTTGTGATTGTTGAGTTATCAGTGGGGTTCACCTGTTGTGATTGTTGGATTATCAGTGGGGATATCTCGTTGTGATGGTTGGCTCTATCGTCGGTGTCTGTGTAATCAGTGTGTGTGGCTCAAGACCTGCGAGCATGCTTCGTTTCGAAGTACACAGTTCAGTTCCAGCTGCGGAGGGATTTGACAGCAGATCACCTTGCGCTGATTTCGACAGAGGTATTGAGAGTGGAGGGTCCAGTAGTACTGGGAAACTACTGAACGTAGCACTGCCCAGTAAAACCAAAGTGCGATTGGTTCTGCGACGTCCTGTCCTGTAAAGGTCCCGGCAACTTACTATCTAGGGGATCTGACTATATTTGGCTGGACTATGGATATAGAGTTTGAATGGCTCGAATAAGGATATAGAGTTTGAATGGCTGGATCAGGGATATAGAGTTTCTGTGGCTGGATTAGGTATATAGAGTTTGAATGGCTGGATTGGGGATATAGAGTTTGAATGGCTGGATCAGGGATATAGAGTTTATGTGGCTGAAATAGATATATATAGTTTCTATAACTGGATTAGGGATATAGAGTTTCTGTATAACTGGATTAGGTAAAGAGTTTCTATAACTGGATTAGG